CCCCAAAACCCCAAAACCCCAAAACCCCAAAACCCCGTTTAATACAACTTAATTGATTTTTCTAACCCTAAAACTCCAATTTGATAGAATGGGAAAGATTAGTACATGATAATTCACATTAGTTCATATTAAAGTTAAAATTCCAGACTAATTTACAAGCTTAATGTCTGGAAAGCGCCTTTATTGAGGGCATTTAGCTCTACCTCAAGCTCGGTCCTGAATCTTTGCGGTTTCAGCTGGGACTTTTTCTCCAAGAACAGTTCTCCTTCCTTGTTATAAAAATGATTTAAAACCAAAGCATAATCTGGACTAGCCAGGAATGTTTTCTTAGCAGCAGTGGAAAAGGAATACAGAACTTGTCTAATCTTAGTGAAGTCTCTTGTCATTATATACTTCTCGTTCTTCTTATGCCTGTGTGAGTGGAGAACAGTGATCATTCAGTCGAGGAACTCAGAAGTTGTGATGTCACAGTTACCAGTTTCGGTATTATGAAATTCGTCTCTAATGAAGTTAGATACGATCGCATCCATCTCAGTTTTAAGAGATCTTGTGAATCCATTATTTTTAACGAATGCGTTGAATTTATCTTTGTAGTACGCACTCATTCCTCTGAAACAAGCACGACGAAGGGAGAAGTAGTTCCAATCAGCATTAGGAGTGCCTAAGGTCTTAGATCTCTTGGCTACTTTCTGGTTAGAACTGATTGGGACTTTGAAATTATCTCAGCAATGTGTCGCATCCTCAGATTTATCAAAACTCGACCTCCGATCTTTTGTCACAAATTGACTTTTGAAACCTCTTATTTCTGAAGGAATATTACAGTTCTTGTAAAGGATCTCTAAGCTCCCAGATGGACCAGAGCTAGCACTTTCATGATCCTGCCCTTCTCCTAGCATAATGCAAGCATTCTCTCCACTTTCGAATAGAGGAGAGTCGATTTCACCAATGGTGACGCTATCTGATTTATCTACTAGATCGTCTGAGAAATCCTGTTCTAAGCGAATTCCTTTCTCTTCCGAATCATTTTTAATAGTATTAAAATGAGATCCTTCAAATAGAATTTCAGAATTGTAAACAAGACCTCTACTAGTAGTAAGATCTGAACTAGGCTCTTGTTTAGCCTTCAAAGGTTGGTCTGGCATCCCAGAAAACAAGAACTGATAAGCATCGCTTTTTTGGCTTGAAATGTTTTCGAAGTTTTGTTCCATTTAAAATATTTTTATAGATAAACTATATCAGGCCTATTTCTACCTTCATATTACTAAAGGGGTTTTGGGGTTTTGGGGTTTTGGGGTTTTGGGGTTTTGGGG